AGAAAAATGGGAAATGATGATGGCAACATATGTACAAATACGCTTGATACAATTGATGTATAGAATATTATAAGTCGTAAGAGTCCCCAATAAAATGATTAAAAAAAAAAAAAGAAATACACGAAAGTGTTCCTTGTATCAGGCTCGTTTGAGCCGTGTTACTTGCTTTGCCCGTACGTGCTTAGTGAATAGATGCGTACACTAACAGAGTAGGAGGAAACTCAAAGGCAATCATTTTCCTTAAATTGATCCAATAGTAGATTTAAGCCTAATACACTTCTTTTTTTTTAAACACGATAGCTAACAGGTATGAAATTGTTTTCAGATTAGGGTCAGAATAATGTACTTACTCATAAACAGCCTTAGCATCTTCAGCACTTTTGTCCTTAAAATCAAGAAGCTCCTGAAGACTCTGGATATACCTAAAGTATAAACCAACCACATTAAAAGGTTCAAATCTGTGAAAATGCCCAAAAGCTAATTTCAACATTTCTTAATTTTTAATTCAGACTAGTGCTATAAATTGTGGCTACTGCAGGATTTTTATACCCATTCACATTCCAGCAAATGTGACACACTGCTTCCTCAAAGGGACACACTGTTTCCTCAAAGCATACATCAAGTCTGATTTAAGAATTTTCAGATGCCCTACTGCGTATTTATGAAGCCTGATGGCCCAATGAGTAAGCACTTGGTTGGCAGTTTGAATCCACCCAATGACCTGCTGCTGTAGGGATTTCCTCGGCTGGAAGCTTTGTGGAGCAGATCACCAGGTCTCTTCTCCCTCTTCTCTAGTGGCTCTGAACCCATGCCCTCTGTGTGAGCAGCCAACAGCTTACTATTTCACAAGAATTGCAGTCTTTAAAGATTAAACCAAATGCCACTGAGTCAATTCTGATGCCTAACGACCCTGCAGACCAAAGAACTACTTAGGGGGTTTCAGACTATCAATCTTTACATAGCTCGATAGTCTCATCTTTCTCCTGAAAAATGGCTGGTGGTTTCTTTATCAAGAAACACCTCAGGTTCCTTGCTTTCAGTTGTATCATCCAAATATCAAAGGTTGTTAACGAGCGTTCCCCCAATCCTGATGGCACTTTTGTCTTCATGTATTGCAGTTTCCTGGGTTATCTGCTCAGAATATAAATAGAATAAGTGTGGTGAAAGGATACAACCCTGAACATCTTTCCTCATTTTGAAACATGCAATATCTCCTTTTTCTGTTTGAACAACTGTTTCTTGGCTTATGTAGAGGCTCCCCATGAGCACAATGAAATGTCCTGGAATTACCACTCCTGGCAATGCTTCCTATAGCACTTTATGTGCCTTTATATGCTTACTAAAATGCCAGTAAACATCTTTAGAGTACCCTCTGTTTTCAAGCAAGCTCCATCTGAAATCAGTAATGAACGGTATCTCTCATTGCACATCCTCCCCTGAAATCAGTTCGAATGTCTGGTAGCCCGTCTCTGCTGACATCTACCCTGGTCTTTTTCCTGTCTCTTGAATAGCCTTTCTGCTTCCTTCACATGTGTTGGTCTTCATGTCATCCTACAACTCATCGGGTCTTCCGTCACTAACGTTCAATGTATATCATTTCTTCAATGCATCAAATTTAATTCACGTAAAATATACTCTAGGCTTGTATACTTAGGCTCTCATGGACTTGTTTTCATTTTCTTTAGCTTCAACCTGAACTTGCACAGAGCAATTGTACTTCAAGGTCAATCTCTCAGATTTGGGGTTTGTTTGGTGTTTTGGATGACGAATCAGACACCATTCCTCTTGAATTTTGTTATTCCTAACAAAGTAAACCTTGTGATTTGTCAGATTCAAAATGGTCAATCCTTGTCCATTAGCAGTTCACTAATAACTCGGATATCAATCTTTTTAAAAAAATCATTTTATTGGGGTAGGATATCAATCTTGATGAGTTCCATTTCATGCTTTTAATTTCCAATTTTACTTCCAAAGTGTTTCAATTCCATATAGAACTCCCATCCCAATTATTAATGACTGTTTGCCACTATTTGATTTCTTCTCATTTTGAGTCATGCCTCGTCAGTAAATGAAGGTTCCCAAGCCCCATTTACGTCAGTAAGGAAGACCCTACCTTGAGGTACAGACTAGACTTCCAAAGTAGCATAGGCTCCTGTAGAAAAGCGCATTTTCCCCACTGTATTCCATCATAAAGCCCTGGTGGCGCACATAGTAGGTTACACATTGCGATGCTAACTTCAAGGTCAGCAGTTCGAAACCACTAGCCACTCTGCAGATGAAAGACTTTCTACACCTGTAAATATTTAGTCTCAGAAACCCATAGCAGCTGTTCTACTCTGTCCTATAGGGTGGCTATGAGTCAAAATTGATTGGACGGTGTGAATTTGGCTTTGAATTCCATCATACTGTCTACATAAACCAAATTTATAATTGTTCTATATTTGAACTAGATAGTATCTGATTATCACATAGCCAGCAATAATCTTTATCTCACTTTTTGAGAAAGAAGACCGGTTTCTCTCACATACTATAAAAGAAAGCGAGAATCTCTGTAAATCATAATGGAGAAATTCCTGCAGCTGATTTTTTCCCTCTTCAGACTTAACACCAGCTGATTCGTTTGCGTTTAACTTATAGTGTTTAAAAGAACGAACACTTTCAAATGAATACCATTAACACTGGTCATAAAGATGACCACATATGCATGCAGTCCTTTCATACCTCGACTTTTTGGAAAAGAAACCAAAGTTAGTTTGAGCCTGCTGCAGGAAAAGCAGCATAGATACAGAGGGCAAAAGTGGAAGAAAGAAAAAGGGGGGAGAGAGAGGTCTCAAAGGACCTCAACACTGCCCAAGCGCAAGAGCTCAGTAGGTCTTTATAAATACTTTTGTCCCGATTTCACGGTGGAGAAAACTGAGGTTCAGAGAGAGGTGTAATATACCCAACACTCATGCTATTAGATGACAAATCTGTTACCTAAACCCAGGAGTCCTTGGGTCATGTAAATTTAATGCACTCAACTGTTCCCCCAAAAGACTGGAGTTCAAGTCCACCCAGCAGAACTCAGATGAAGAATGGCCAAGTGAAGTATTTCTGAGAAATTGGTGGCTGAAAATTCTATGGAGCAAAGTTCTACTCTGACACACCCCAGTTCCCTGAGTCAGAATTGGCTCAACAGCAACTGGTAAAGAGTGAAAAAGCATTTCTTTTAAAGTTGAGTAAAACCCATCAACTCCATCAAAATTGGAAACTCAAGACGGAATGCTTACCAGCTTTGCACCAATTGAACCGATGGCGTTCTGAGCAGATTGTCTGGCAGGAGACTTATTTCTTTCATTATGTTTGCCAATCGAACGGGCAATTCTTGCCTTAGAAACATAAATGAGGTTTTCTCACAAGCATCCACAGATCCTGAAACCAAACAGGGCGGGCAAAGCAGTTAGTAGCCGCCAGCAGGCAGCTGAAGTCACAGGACAGGGAGAAATAAAGAGGAAGTTACTTCAGGGGCCAGCAAAATGAAATCACCATACTGATAGGGCAAGGAAGAGAGATCCTTGTCTCAGGAGACCTGGGGGCAGGATTCAGAACCCATCCACCGTCACCGAGTTGATTCCAACTCCTACCCACCCTAGAGGGGTAAAGTAGAACTGGCTGCGATCTTGACACAGAAGCAGACGGCCACATCTCTCTGCAGGGGTGGCTGGAGGGTTTGAACTGCCAACCTGCAGCGAGCAGCCCAACTTGCTCTGCCCGCTATGCCACCCAGACTCTTTGAGATATTCAGAAGAATCTTCCAGTTATTGGAATTCCAATCCTTTTATAGAGCAACTGCTGTGGGTTAGGCTGCCACCCATAAAGTCAGCAGTTCAAATCCACCAGCCTCCCCTCAGAAGGAAGACCAAACTGTTCCTGTAAAGACTGACAGTCCGGTAAGTCCTATCAGGATTTGTATAGGATTCAGTATAGGCCTCAGGATCCACTCAACGGCAGTGAGTTTGGTTTCGGTTACAGAACCAGGTAACCTCCTGAGTCAAGTGCAGGCTCCCTTAGAGCAGACTGCCCTTGTCCATTCACATATCACAGTGCTAACTAAGCCTGCTGGATGTCATTTGGCAAGGGACCTCCATTTATTTCAAGTTCAACTAAAAAGTTATTTCAGTAACATATTTTAAACTAATTTAAAAAATTTTTTCCCAGCAGAAAGAACCTTAGCAAACACCAAACTGGAGAAAGTAATTATGGTATTAAAGGAAAACACTTGCCCGTGAACGTTTCATTCCCCTTTAATCACAGTAGTGCCTTTTGAAAGTAAAAACAAAATTGAGGGCTCTGAGCCAACAACAACAACAAAAGCTGTCTGCCACTATAAACGGTTTTAAGCTAAAGTTGCCCACCAGTGCCCGGTCAGCAATCACCACTCAAAAGACAACTTTTTTCTACGTAGACGTGAAGGTTTTTAGTCTGGGCCCCGAATGAAGTCAAACGTTAAGGGTCTCCAACTTCGCGGTTCCCTCCCGCGTCCGGAACAGCTCCCGCAGCTGGGCGGGGAGAGACGGTGGTCAGCCCGAGGCAGGGGCCTCCGCTGCACCCCTGCACGTGGCCCACGCTCCGCCCGGCAGATCCCAAGCCCCGTCCGGAGGGGTGTCCCCGCACTCGGACCCCGGCAGGGGCCTGGTCCCTGACCCCGGTGGCACGTGGGCGCTCCAGGTCGGGAGGCCATGCCGACTTCCGTCCTTGGGGTTGGTTGAACAATGTGGGGTCCCCCCTGCTCCCCCCCAGCCTGTCCCCCCTCCCCGGGTATTTCACGGGGGCGGCAAGCGCCTGCCCTGGGACGTAGGGGCCGGCGCGGAGGAAGGAAGTGTCCCCAGGCGCTGGGGGCGCCACAATAAGAAGGGGGTGCGCCGAAGGCGGCCAGGGCCCGCACACAAAGGCCGGCCCGGCTGGCGCTCACCGAAGTCCAGAAACTGCTTCATGGAGAGCGGGGACGGCGAGAAGCGCGCGTAGAAGTCCACTTGGCCCGGCA